ACGACGCCGAGAGCGCGCTGCCGCGGCGCGCGGGCGGCGCGTCGCCCGCGGGCGCGTCGGGCTTCTTGTCGCGGCGCGGCGGCGGCGGCGGCTTCCAGCCCGGCGGCCGCGCGGGCTTCGCCGGCTCGGGCGGCGTCGGCGTCGGCGGCGACGGCGGCAGGTCGAAGGACGTCGCGGGCGGCGTCGACGGCGGCGGCGGCGGCGTCGCCGCGGCGTCGACGACCGGCGCGCCCGACGGCGGCGGCGGCACGGCGACGGGCGGCGGCGGCGGCGGCGGCGCGGCGACGGGCCCGCCCGTGACGACGGCCGGCGCCGCGGCGGCCGTCGCCGTCGCGGGCGCGGCTAAACCCGCGCGGAGCCAGCGGAGCCGGAGCTGGATCTTGCCGCCCCCCTTTTGCATGGGCAGCCAGCCCGTCGTGTCCACGTTCGGCTCGAGGATGTCGACGGGGATCTCCAAACCGGCGATGAGCTTCTTCTTCCCGAAGGCCTCCTTGTGCCGCGCGGCGACGACGACGACGGCCCCCCCCGGCGCCGGGCCCAGGACGAGATTCGGCGGCGTGCGGTAGACGGGGTCGAGGAAGACGCAGTCGCCGCCCCGCTTCGACGCGCGGACGCTGGCCTTGCGGTGCTTGCCGCCGCCCAGGCCCTTGTAGTGGATCTGCGCGTAGATCTTGCACCGTAAATCCCTCGACTCGACGCCCGCGCCGCTGAGGCCCTCGGCGGCGAAGACCGTGAGCTCGAGCTGCTCCGGCGCGCCGCCGCAGCGCGCCCGCCAGTGCTCGCGGTCCTCCGCGGCGCGCGCCGCCGCCTCGTCCAGCGCCCAGGCCGGCGGCTCGCGGAGCAACCGGAAGGGCTGCGCGAGCGGCGCGGTCGCCTGTGTGCAAATCAAATCTTCAACCCGACTTCAATGTGCGCGTATGCGAATGTTTTGACACGAGCACTTCCGCCGTGCTTCGAGAACTCGCTAAGAGCAATCGATTCGTCCAAAAATCAGCCGAATCGACTTCGATTTGACCGAGCTAGAGAATTCTCAAGTTTGGCCCCGACGTCCCAGCTCACTGGTTGATTTGCACACAGGCGGTCGCGTGCTCCCGGCACCGCAGGAGCGCGTCGGCCTCCGCGCCGCCGGCGAAGCGCAGGCGGTGCGACGCCGTCGGCGACGACGAGAAGAAGGAGCCCTTGCCGACCTCGTCGAGGACGACGGCGTCGCCGTCCTTGGCGCCGCCGCCCCACTTCGAGACCTGCACGTACGTGCCGACGAGGCTCTTCGACGAGAGCGTCGCGGCCGCCTCCAGCGCCGCGACGAGGCTCGCGGCGTCCATCTTCGAGCCCGAGTGGCGCGCCGCGGCGTCGTCCGCGCGGTTCTGCGCCGCGGCGACGGGCGCCGCCGCGGCCGGCAGCGCGCCGCCCGTGCCGACGGCGCGCCGCTCGACGACGCGCGTGTTCTCGTCGGCGACGTTGACCTGGATGATGCCCGACGACGGCGGGCTCTTGAGCCGCCGCGACACGGCCTTGGCCCCGAAGCGGATCTCGAAGGTGCGGTACTTCTCCGGGTTGTCGGGGTAGCGCAAGGTCAGCGTCGCCTCGAGGGGCCGCGCCGCCTCGATGGCCGCGTTCGTCTTGGCGTCGTAGCCGTGCCAGGCGCCCTTGCCGTCGCGGTGGAAGTAGGCGTAGGACATGGTTGGAGATGAGCTGCGGCCCTGGGTGGCGGCGAATTCCCGCGCGCAGCCGCCGCAATGCTCCAACCTGCGCAAGGCTTGTGGCGGATGGCGGCACCGTTTTGCTTGCCGGTTGCTTGCAGAGGCCTCGACTCGCTTTGCACCACTCGCCTCGCGGCAACCAACAGCGGCGACCGCACCGACCCACGAGCTCGACAACATGGCAGAAATCGTCAAAGCCGCCGAGGACCCGAAGAAGAAGCAGGCGCGCCTGCGGCGCTTCCGCTCGGAGCAGAAGAAGAAGGCCGTCGAACTCCAGCGTCCCAGCCGACGGTTTCGGACCCGACCGCGGCGACGCGACACCTCCGTAGGCGACGCCGCCGCCGAAGAAGACGATGGCGCACCCGGGCGGGAAGATCACGTCCAACAAGGACGAGGCGACGGCCGCGTTCCTCGCGAAGAAGGTCGCGGCGGGCGAGGAGCTGACCGAAGCGCAGCGCGCGGCGCTCGACGAGCTCGAGGGCGCGGCGCCGGAGCCGGCGCCGAGCCCGTTCCAGGCCTACGTCGCGAACCTGCCCAAGGCGACGACGGCCGAGGGCGGCCTCGCGGACCTGCGGGCGCTCGCGGACGGCGTCGTCGGGTTCGTGGCGATCACGGACAGAACGACGGGCGAGTGCCGGGGCTTCGGCTTCGCGACGCTCGAGTCGCAGGCGCGCCTCGACGCCTTCGTCGCCGCGCTCCACGAGCAGCCGGGCCTCGGGTCCGAGTCGCTCGCGGTCTCCGTCGCGAAGAAGGCGCTGGGGCCCCGCGCGAAGAAGCCCGCGCCGAAGCCCCGGCCGCCGCGCAAGCCCCGGCCGGCGGCCGACGGCGACGCGCCGGAGAAGAAGGACGGGTCCTTCCGCACGCGCCGCCGGGGCAAGTCGAACCCGAAGCACGCGCCGTCGCAGTCCAAGAAGGGCGAGCCCAAGGCGCCGCCGCCGAAGAAGGACGACGCGGCCCCGAAGCCGCCGCCCGCGCCGGCGGCGTGACGCGCGCGGGGACAGGCGTTCCGCGACCGCCGCCCCGGGTCGCGCCTTAGTTCACCTCGGACGCCCGGGAGCTGCGAGTGGCGGTTGGGACCCGGTGCCCCTCCGGGGAGCCCGTGAGTAGCGGCCGCGCCCCCCCACTGCCCCCCCTCGGAAGATTCCAATATCGGACAGAACGCTGTGTACAACAGAGGGTAGGTGGCGCGCGCGGGTCGCGGGGCGTCCCCGGTCCCGGGGAGGCCCGCCCCGGCGCGGCGGCGGCGGCGGCGAGGTCACAATTGTTCGTCGAGGATGGCGTCGAGCTTCTCGATCTTGCGGCGCACGGAGAGGCCTGCCTTCCGCATGTTGTTGACGTAGCGCGCCAGGGCGCGGTCCTCCGCGGTCGCGCCGGAGACGTCGCCTCCCGACGCCGCGGCGTCGACGAGGGGCACGTCCGCGTAGTTGTGGACGACCTTGTCCATGAAGTCGAGGCGCCCCTCGAAGGCGCTCTTGATGTTGATGAGCTCGTCGACGTCGCACTCCTCGCCCTCGCAGTAGTCCGTCGCGGACGACAGGACCTCGACGTCCGCGGACGCCCAGTCGACGACGGTCGGCTCCGCGTTCGGGTGCGCGCCGCCCTTGGTCTTCACGAGGGCCTGCGTCTTCTTGTAGTGGAGCGAGAAGGCCTCCGACGAGCCCGTCATGAGGAGGCCGAGGATCTTGTGCATTTTTGAGTTTTTCGCTTCGGGCGCTTCGGCGCTTCGGGGCCTCGGATTTCCGGGGCGTTTTTTCGGGCGGCGGCGCGGCGGCGGGTGGCGGCGACCCCAAAGAGCGGGTGGACCGCGGCGGGGGGTCAAGCGGCGGTGTTAGACAATATGGCAGCCGTCGCACGCGTTTGTTCTCAGCGGCTGGAGCTGTCAAAGCCGATCGACATGAGCGCCGGGGGCGCCGCGGCGCCGGGGGTCGACGACTCGCGCGCGTGAGATCGCGTGGCTCGCAGGCACTCACCGTCGCCGCTTCTTAAAGGACCCGAAGCCCATGGCGGCCACGAGTTCGGCCTCCTGCGCGGCCGCGGCGTCCCGCTTCCCGCCGCCGGGCTGGCCGCGGCGCTGGCGCGGCGTCAGCGGCGCGACGCCGCCGGGCTCCGCGGCCTCGAGCGCGCGCCTCGCGGCGCGCACGGGCGCCTCGACGGGCGACGGCGCGCCGCCGTCGTCGGCGACGCGCATGGGCGCCGCGAGGCGCACGGCCGGGTGGCACATGAACCGCACCGCCGCCGCGTCGACGTCCCGCAGATTCTTCGACCGCGCGTGCAGGAGGAAGGGGTGCGTGAGCATGACGTCGCCCGCGCGGCCGCGCGTCTCGACGACGGCGTCGCCCGCGAGGGCCTCCGCCCCCAGCGCCTCGCGCGCGAGCGCCGAGAGCCGGGGGCCCGGTACGCCTTCCGCGCCGGCGCGCCAGAGCAGCTCCGCGACGGCGCGGTGCGACCCCGGCGCGAGCGCCGTGCCGCCGCCCCGCGCCGCCACGTCCGAGAAGAGAAAGATGGGCAGGACGCCGATCTCCCTCGAGTCGACCCTGTGCGCGTAGCCGTGGCCGTCGACGTGCCAGCTGCCCTCGGCGCCCCAGGGCGCGTTTGCGACGCCGGGGAACGTGACGACCCACCAGCCGCAGCCGAGCGCGTCGTCGTCGACCCAGCGGCCCGCGCCGCAGAGCTGGTCGAGCGCCGCCCGCAGCCGATCGCTCCAGCACTCGGCCCACGGCGCGCCGAGGTCCGACTCGCGGAAGACGTCCTGGAGGCCCAGGCGGCCCTTGGGCGCCAGGGACCAGGTCGCCGGGTCGTCGGCGGCGATGCCCAGGTCGCCGACGCGGCGCCAGAGCGCGTCGCGGCAGTCGAAGGCGACGTCGCGCGGGAAGGCGCCGGGCAACAGGCAGTAGCCGTCGCGCACGAACTGGGCGAGGTCGTCGGCGCTGAGCGGGCCCGGCGCAACGTGCGGCGCGCCGAGCGGCGCGTCCGTCGAGCGTTGCGCGTCGTCGTCGTCCGCGTTGAGCGGCGCGTCCGCTGCCCTCGGAGCCGGCTTTTCGCTCTCCATGCGGACGGCGGCCGCCGCGCGGCCGGAGAGCGGATGCCACATCTATGCCACGATGGATCGATCGCGAAAGTGATCGCGACACGCCGGGACACGCTCCCTTAGCCCCTAGCACTGCATGTGGACGCAGTCGCCCGTGGACGACTTCGTGCAGTAGTCGAGGTCCGTCAGCGCGGACTCGTTGAAGAACTTGCCGTTGAAGTAGCCGTGGAACTCGACGCCGAGGCCCGCGACGCCCGCGGTCCACAGGCTGCCCTCGACGCCCGCGCCCTTGGAGTTGTCCCCCGCGTGCGCGTGGTAGCCCACGTCGTTCCGGCACAGCTTCGGCGCGATGTTGTCGAGATAGCGGGGCTTCGTGCACCAGACGCCCAGGTGGGAGTCGAGGTAGCGGTCCCAGCCCGTGTTGCAGCCCGTCAAAGCCTGGTGCACGCCCTCGACGTACGTGCCGTAGTACGCCGGCGAGTAGAGCCCGTGGCTCGCGCCGCCGTTGGCGATGGCCTTGATCGACACCGCGAAGCCGTCGTCCTCGCTGCACTGGTCGCCGTCGGTGGCGAGGCCGCACTTGTCCATGTCGAAGGCCGTCCAGGAGCAGTTCGCGCCGTTGTCCGCCTTCGCGAGCGTCTCGTAGGACACGCCCGCCTGGGCGAACTCCTGGATGAAGGACGGCACGTCCTCGATGTTGTCCATGGGGTTCGCCAATTCGACGACCAGCAGGTCCGGGTAGCCGACGGCCGCGTCCGAGGCCCCGGACCGCCTCCCGTCGCGCGCCGCCAGCCGTCGCTTCTCCACGGCGATGAGATGCGCCTTCATGGCCATGACCGTCTGGTTCACGAAGAGCGACGACGCGCACATGTTCGTCGTCATGGCCTCGGCGCTCGGCTGGAAGCGGCCCGCGTGCGGCGCGACGACGCGGAGCGTCGTGCCCGACATGGGCAGGAGCAGGAAGACGTTGTAGAGCGTGTAGCCTGGGCAGGACAAGAGAGATTCAACGTCGCTTCAACGTGAGTGTTCCGCGCGCGCGCGTTTAAAATAAAGCATCCACGTTTCGAGATTGTTCCGAGAGATGATCGCTCGTCCAAAAATCAGCCGAAACGAGTGGAAAATGGCCGAGATATGAGCCTTTGAAGTTGGGAATTTCGCTCTCTTGTGCTGCCCTGCGTGGAGCCGTCCAGGGGGCTCACGTAGTAGGACAGCTTGTACGTCATATCGTCGTAGGCCTCCCAGGCGCTCAAAAAGGGGTCGAGCGACGCCGCGTAGAACGTCACCGCGGGCACGGCCCACTGCGACCAGCCGCCGGTCGCCGAGAACTCGGCCTCGATCGACGCCGTCGCCGCGGCGGCAAAGTCGCCGGGCGACAGCTCGCCGTAGTCCGTGACCTCGGACGTGAAGAAGTGGAGGCCGAAGGGCTCCTGGCCGTTGGTCTGGAGCAGCTCGCGGTGCGCGCACGTCTGCGCGCCGCCGTGGCGGGTATACGTCAGGTTGTCGAGGTAGTCCAACCCCAAAGCGCGGTAGACGACCTCCGCGTCGACGACGGCGTTCTTCGACGCGAAGGTCCGCTTGTAGATGCGGCAGCTGTCGCTGAGGAAGGCGCCGGACTTGGCCGACGTGTTCCCCTTGTAGGACCGCTTGCTCTCGAGCGTCGCGCCGGCCCAGGGCCGCGCCGGCAGCGACGTCGCCACGTAGATCGTAGCGGCGACGGCGACGCCCGCGGCGACGGCGCGCGCGGCGACCGTCCGCCGCGACGGCCGCGCGCCGTCGTCGGGGATGGCCGCGTACGCCGACGCCATCGTGCCGAGAGGCAGCCCCAGACGTCGTCTATTTTCGGCAACACACCTTCACCTTCAGCCTGCTGTGAGGCGGCGCGATGGTGTGCCACCGAGGGGCTGCCGCGGGGCGAGTCTCCGGTCGATTTCGACGTGCGCTTTGGCGCCGCGCGCCTGCGGGCCCCGCTCGGGGCGCAGCGCTCGAAGACCCCGTCCGATTCGGTGCGGGGGGCGCCGAGTTCCGGCTGCCCATCGACTGGCTGCCGCGCGCCGAGGGCATGGTGCGCGCGGGGACGACGGACGCGGCCGTGAGCCGCGGTCCGCGGCGGCGCTGGACGTGCGGAACGCTGGGTTGGACGCGTCGGTGGCGCAGCCCACCGCGGCTCCCGTCGCCGCGCCCCGCGTGCCCGTGGACGAGGTGAACCTGGTGCCCAGCAAGATGCCGACGGATTTTTGGAGGGTCGCGCCGGCGGCACGGGCCAAGCCCGAGACGCCACGCGCGACGGCCCCCGTCGGTGCCAAGCACCGGCGGCGGAGCCGAGTCCTAGCCGCCCGACGGGTCGGCCAAGCCGACTCGTCGACGGTCGGGACCATCTCCCTGCGACGACAGAAGGAGGCCGTCCGCCTCTACAACATCGCCGTCAAGCTCGAGGTCGTCCCGGACGACCCGACGACCCTCGACCTCGACTGGGAGCTCTCCTAGGCGCGCACCGCGCGCCTCGTCTCCCTATACACCGTCGCCCCGGTTCCGCCGACTCGACCTCCTCGCGGCTCGGCGGCACTAACATATCCCGCCGGCGGGATATGTTAAAGGCCGCTTCAACTTGGACTTCAACATCAAACCTTGCACTTCAACAGGGACCTCAACACAGCCGCTTGCCCTTCAAAAGGGACCTCAACACCGCCGCTCACGCCTCGCCAGGGACCTCTGACGCGCCGCCCACGCCTTAGGGGGCGCGACCCGCCCCATGCCACGTGCCAGAAGCCCTCCAGAAGCCCTCCAGGAGCCCTCCAGAACCCTTCCGCGGACCCGAAATACCCCAAACCCCTTACGATTTTGCGATTTTGATTCCCCCCACTGCCTTGCCTTGGTAAACTGCCCTTCAAGTTTCTTTAAGGGCAAACTGCAACGCCACCCCAAACCACGTGCCAGAAGCCCCCCAGAAGCTTCCCAGAAGCCTTCTAGAACCCTTCCGCGGAGCCAAAAAATACCCCAAACCCCTTACGATTTTGCAATTTTAATTTCCCCCACTGCCTCGTCCTAGTAAACTGCCTTCAAGTTACATTAAGGGCAAACTGCAAGGCCGCCCCTTCAAGCTTCCTCAAAATAGCATCAAAAAAAAAGAAGTAGCCGCAATAATATCTAAAAGACTTGCTGAAGATTTGCATGTATAGATTATATCAACAATTCTTTGCAGGATTGAGAATATTCTACTAGATGATTTTCAGAAAACTATAGCACCGCAGCGCTCTAAGGTGGCCCTGCTAAACCTGATGCTGGCCGATGTCTGGGTAATTGGGACTCTTGAAGTGGTTTACTCTTTTGTGACATACACCACCGATGGCGGGACCTGCGGCGACACCCAGTACGGCTGCCCGTCGACGGCGTGCGACGGCGACGACATGCCCTGGTGCACCGCCATCGAAGACGACGCCTGGTCCATACGGGGGGACGACTACTTTTGGCAGAACTTCCAGCACTACTGCCACACGTACGACGGAACGGACTGGAAGTTCTACTTTAACGGGGCGCTGGCTCACACCGAGACCGTGGCCCTGGACACCGGCTCCGACAACCCATTGACGATCGGAGTGCGCTACTCGAGCGGGTACTCAGGCTACTTCAACGGCAAGATAGACGATGTCTACGTCTACTCGAGCGCGCTCAACGCGGCCTCGATCCAGGTCCTCTACAACGACGGGGCAAGATAGACGATGTCTCCGTCTACTCGAGCGCGCTCAACGCGGCCTCGGTCGAGCTCCTCTACGACGACGGCTCGGGGCGTTCGTAGAGCCGACCATCGTTCACCGACGAGAGCCGACCGTCGATCATTCGCCTCGTCGAACCGACCGACCGAACCCACCTCCCCCCCCCCTTCCCCCCACCCTGGCTTCTCCTGCCTTGGAAGCAACCTTCTCCCGCCTTGGAATGACCCGCCCCTCCCCCCCGCCTTCTCCCCCCTTGGAAGCCTAAGCTGTGGCGTTCGCCCTGCGGGAGAGGCGGCCGCCTAGATCTACTTGAGTAGGGCGGCATGAATGTCAGGGGCGGCAAGTGCCGCACTCGAGGCGAAACGTCGAGAAAATCAACCCGATGTTGTCGCGCTCGAACACGGCGCGGAAGCGCCCGAGCGACGCCCAGGTGAACAAGATGTGACGAGGCGGCGTCGTCGAAACGGGGGGGGGGTGGAAATGACGTCGTTTCTCGTTTTAGGTTCGAAGACGTGCTCCTCAAGCTCTCGCTCCCCGAGGCCGCCAAGCCGGGCATGCGCGCCAAGCCCGTCGAGGAGCAGTGGAAGTTCGTCGAGATGTACGCGGCGTCCGGCGGGGCGGGGGGCTTCGAAGCCGCCGACTCCGCGGCGCTGAAATCCGTCGCGGACGCGCCCGCGCGCCCGCCGCTCGCGGCGCTCCGCGCCGTGCGCACGGGCATCCGCACGGGCGCCGCGGCCTGGCTCACGGGCTTCTACGGCGCGGGCGGGCCCCGCGCCGTCGCGTCCGTGCTCTGGTGCTTCTCGGAGCGGTGCGCCGCGCGCGCGGCGTCGGAGCTCGCGACGGCCCGTGCGCTCGAGGCCGCGGGCTGCGCGAAGGCCCTGGTGAACCACCCGAGCGGACTGGACCACGTCTGCCGCGAGGGCGCGGATCTGGTGCGGGCCTGCGCGGCGGCCGCGTTGGCCTGCCACGACCACGTGCTCGCGGCGCCGGCCGCGCCGCCGCTGTTGGAAGCGCTGGCCGTCGTCGCGCACTTCCACGCGGAGGTCGGGCGGCCTTTGGTGCTCGACGCTGTCCGCGGCGCGTCCCAGGACGGGTCCTTGGCGGCGTTGGCGGCCGTCGTCGCGCCGCGCGGCTCCGGCCCCGCGGCGCCGTCGAGGCCGACGCGGAGGGCGGTCCGCGCGGGCGCGATGGCTCTCGCGAACGAGCTCGTGTGCGGCGAGGCCGACGCCGACGAGCGGGGCGCGCTGCGCGAGGAGGTCTCGGCGGCCTTCGACGAGTCGACGGACGACGCCGCGGCCGACGGCGACCACGCGGACGCGGCGGAAGCCGAGGCGCGCGGCGCGGCGCTCGGCGCGCGGTCCGGCGGCCTCGTCGCGGCGCCGCGGGCCCGGGGCGCGGCCGGCGGCGCGACCCTGCCGCCGGGCGGCGCGACCAACTTCGCGCTCGAGGGGGCCGCGCTGCGCTGGGGCGGCGCGGAAGAGCCCGCGAAGCGGCGGAGCCTCGTGTCCTTCGGTGCCAAGGCGAAGCGCGGCGGCAGCGCCGCCGGGTCGCTGGACCTCGCGCTCGCCGTCGACGTCTGCCCGCGGTCCGGCCACCCGGACCTCGGGTCGCCGTCCGTGCCGCGCTTCGGGCTCGAAGTCGTCGTCGCCGGCGGCGGCGTCGCCGCGCTCGCCGCGGACAGTCCCCGGGAGCGCGACGCCTGGTACGCGGCCCTCGTCGTCGCGGCGGACCGCGCGGCGCTCAAGGCCGCGGACCCCGGCGCGCGGTCCGCGCTCAGGGCCGCGCTCGCGCCCTACGAGGCGAACGCGCCCCGGATCGTCGCTGCGCAGGCGGCCGCGTTCCGCCACATGGCGCGCGAGGACGCGGCGGCGGGCGGCGACGGCGGCGGCGTCGAGGCCGTGCTCGACGCGCTGCGGAAGCGCGCGGCCGTGCCCCGGCTCCGGGCCAAGGTCGAGGTGTTGGGGCGCGCGGCGCTGTCGGCGATCCACGGCGGCGCGGCGGCGGCCGCGTGGCGCGACGCCGTCGACGCGCTCTGCGACGGCGACGTGCCGGAGAACCTGAGGGACCTGGACCTCGAGTCCTTCGACGAGGGGCCCGCGGCGCCCGCGGCGCCCGCGGCGCCCGCGCCGGCGACGGACGTGGCGTCGGCGCTCTCGGCGGCGGCGGCGCTGCCGCCGCTGCCCGCGGCCGTGCCCGCGGCGCCGGGGCCCGCGGACGCGCTGGCCAAGTACCGGAAGATGCTCAAGATGCACCTGCCCCGGGGCGCCGTGGAGCAGAAGATGCGCGCCGAGGGCGTGGACCCGGCGCTGCTGGACGAGGGCGGCCCCGCGGACGCGCTGGCCAAGTACCGGAAGATGCTCAAGATGCACCTGCCCCGGGGCGCCGTGGAGCAGAAGATGCGCGCCGAGGGCGTGGACCCGGCGCTGCTCGACGGCGACGCGCCGGAGGCCGCGGTCGCGCTCGCCGTCGCCGAGGAACCGGCCGTCGCCGCGGTCAAAGACGACCCGACGTACGCCAAGTTCTTCAAGATGCTCGCCATGCACATGCCCCGGGGCGCCGTCGAGCAGAAGCTCGCCGCCGAGGGCCTCGACCCGGCCGTCCTCGACCTCGACCCGTCGAAGCCCGCGCCGAAGACGCTACCGAAATCCAAGAAGAAGCCCGCGGCGCCGCCGCCCGTGACATCCTACGGCGAGAAGCCGCCCGTGCCCCTGCGGCCCTGGCACTGGACGGCGCTCCGCGGCGACGCGGCGGCGGCGACGCGCTGGTCCAAGGCGTCCCCTATCGTGCCCTTCCCCGCGGAGGACCTGCACCGGGCGCTCGCCGCGCGGACCTCGAAGCCCGGCGGCGCCGTCGTCGCGTCCTTCGTCAGGACGGCGACGACGAAGCCCGCGGCCCGCGCGTCCTTCGTCGACCCGCGGACGGCGCAGAACGTGGGCATCGCGCTGCGCAAGATGCGGCGGCCGCCCGAGGAGCTCGCGCGGCTCGTGCTCCGCGGCGACGCGTGCCCCGAGTCGCTGCTCGACCTCCTGGCGTCCGCGGCGCCGACGGCGGAGATGCGCGGCCTGGCCCTCGCGCACCGCGCGTCCGGCGCGGGCGACGACGACCTCGACGACGTCGAGCGCTTCCTCGTCCAGGCGAGCCTCGTGCCGGCGTTCGACGCGCGCCTCGAGGCGCTGGATCTCCGCGTCCGCTTCGGCGCCGCGGCGCGGGATCTCGAGGCGCGCCTGAGCTCCGTGGAGGCGGCGTCGACGGCCTGCGTCGAGAGCGCGAGCCTCTGGGCGGCGCTGGCGCTCCTGCGGGACGTCGGCAACGTCGTCAACGGCGGCACGCCGCGCGGCGGCGCCGCGGGCTTCCGCCTCGACGCGCTGAGCCGCCTCGAGGCGACGAAGGCCGCCGACGACGGCAGGCCCTTCCTCTGCCGCGTCGTGACCTGGCTCGACGCCTACGACGGCCAGCTGCTCCCGAGCTTGGGGCGGCTCCGCGTCGCCGCGGACCGCGCCGCGCGATCCGCGCGCGCGCTCCGGGCCGACGTCGGCGCGCTGCGCGCGCGCGTGGCGCGGGGCGAGGCGCTCCTCAAGGCCGAGGCCGAGGCGGCGAAGCGGGGCGACGAGCCCGACCGCGCGGCGTTCGTCGCGTCGCTCCTGCCCGTCGTCCAGGGCGCGCGGAGGGCCGTCGACGGCCTCGCGGCGCGCGAGCGCGGGCCGACGGCCGCCGCGGCCGCGGCCCTCGCGGCGGCCTTCGGCGCGCCCCCCGACGCGTCGTCGCCGGAGCTCATCCTCGGCGACGAGCTCGTGCCCTTCCTGTCCGCGCTCAGGGACGCGAAGGCCGACGTCGACGCGGCGCGCGCGGCCGAATCCGCCGCGGCGCGCAAGGCCGCGCGGGCGCGCGACGACGGCCGCGCCTACGTCAAGCCCGCGCGCGCGCCGCCGCCGGCGCCCGACGAGGGCGACGACCTCGTCGCGGCCTACCGCCAGGTCCAGGGCGACGCGGACGCGACGATCGCGCGCTTCGTGCTCATGCGCGAGGCGTCCCAGTCCTACGCCCGCATGCCGACGCCGCGCGCGCTGACGACCGAGGACCCCCGCGCGGCCCTCCTCCGCAAAAAGTCCTCGCAGGCCCACAGCTTTAAGCTCTGAGGCGATAGTACGGTCTTAGGCGTGGTCATCCTTAGGTCCAGTTGACGTAGGAGCGAAGCGCTTGCTCGAAATCCTCCGTGCTCATGGGAGGCCTCTCATTCCAGTGTTCCCACTCGAATTTCACGTCCAAGGTAGATTCGCTCCCTTCGGATGGCGCAAACCACTCTACCTCAGTGCATGGACTGTAAAAAGAATTCATATTCGGGCCACCCGTGAGCCAGCTGAAAGCCCACTTCTCTCCGAATCCGTGCCGCCACATTCCCAAATTCCAAAACACAATCGAGCAGTCTCGAGGTCTGATACCATGGGGTACATTTTGCCAGTTCTGATCTAGATAACCATCTGCCCGGCACTGACCGAGCGTCGCGCGAGAGTAGTCTCCTCTCGACACCATGAGACGCACATAGAGAATGTGATCTGGGCCGTCATAGCCATCTGCTGTTCTCGGGGGTGGGCGGCCATTCCATGCTCGATTGAACACGCCTTCTGGTATGTCGAATCTTAGTTTTGCCAGCGGACCAGGAACCACTTCTCCTCTGCCAACGAAGAGAGATTCGATCGAGTCCGGGGTAGTTGTACGGTTCGTGCGATTATGAGTCTGGATCTCTATTTCCACCGAGAAAGTGTAGCCGTCCAGCGACCCCTGCGCCAGCCCCGGAAAAGGGGCCGGGTCTTCCGCATACAGCCGCGTCTGGCTCTGGAACAGCTCGCGCGGCGTCGGAGTATCCGTCGCGTCATCCCCGATGATCGTCGTGAGAATTGGGAAGCGCCTGAGCACGAGGCGCCGCTGTAGAGCCGGCGTGCGGCGTCTTAGCGCCGACCGAAGCTCGACGCTCGCCGCAGCGCACGCGGCGATTTCGGGCAGGCCAGAGTAGTCGAAGATGCCGTCGAGCAACACGTCCGGCAGACCGCCGAAGCTGAAACCGCCGCTTCGAGAGGTGTGAGAGGTGTTCTGCATTCTCGTTTACGAAGGCGAGGCTATCGTGAGGCGCGGTGTAGATTTTCGAGCGAGGCGCCACAGGGAGGCGACCCAGCCTCGCCAGATCCTTGCCACAAGCATGCTCATTCGCTTTTTTGCGATCGCCGATGCTCGCCGCTGCCCTGCGTCGCGTGAAGCCGGGCAATGGCCTACTCTCCTGGGCACCAACGGTGGTATGCACGGGCCTCGGCCTCGGCGCGATCGTCGACCTCGACCATCGAGAGAACCCGACGAACCTCGCCAAGAAGCCGGCCTACTACGAGGCCTCGGGCGCCGCGGCGTTCAAGGCGTTGACGGCGCGCGACGACGACGTCTTCGTCGCGAGCTACCCCAAGTGCGGCACGTCCTTCGGGCACGGCATCGTCTATGCGCTGCTTCGGATGGACGACGACGGCGCGTGCGGCGACGACGGCGAGTGTGGCGGCCGCGGCCAGGTCTACCCGGACGGCGTCGCGGCGAAGCGCGGTGACGTCGAGCGACGGGCGGCTTTCGGCGCGTGGAGCTTCGAGGACCTCTCGGCGCAGCGCGCGCCGCGGCTCTTCACGAGCCACTCCAAGGCCGACGCGCTGCCCGCGACCCTCGCGCTTCGCGGGCGCTACGTCGTCTTCGCGCGCGACCCCAAGGACTGCCTCGTCTCGGGCTTCTTCTTCGTCCGGGGCCTCGACGCGAAGCCGCTTTACTGGCTCCGCCGGCGCTACCACGACCTCGACTCGTACTTCGAGACGTTTTTGGAACGCGACGGCGGCGGCACGTACGGCGACTGGTGGTCGTGGCACTCCGACGCCGCGGCGCTCGCCGAGGACCTGGGGCCCGAGCGCGCGCTCGTCGTCTTCTACGAGGACTTCCACCGCGATTTCGACGCGGCGGCGGCGGCGCTCGCGGCGTTTCTGGGAGTATCGCTCACGCCGGCGAAGCTCGCGGCGCTGCGGCGGCGCACGGCCATGGGCGACGACGCGGGCGCGACGGTGCCCACGGCGCGGCTCGGGCGCGTCGGCGACCACCGGCGCCACCTCTCGGCGCAGCACTGGCTGCGGCTCGACCGGCTCTTCTCCGCGCGCGGCGCGGCGGCGCACCCGCTCCTCGCGCCGCTCGCGCCCGAGCGCGTCTTCCGCGCCGCGGCGGCCGAGGCGGAGTAATAACAACTCGACAGAAGCAGACTTTCGGAATAAAAAAACCATTACGTCGCACCGTCGAAGAAGGAGGTCGCGGCGATCTCGTAGACGCGGAGCTCGTCGGGGACCTTGTCCGCGTGGCGCCGCGTCACGGCCAGCCCGCGGCGCCGGAGCGCGTCGACGAGCGCGCCCTCGGCGCCGCCGCCCTCGCGGACCTCGCTGACGACGTAGGCCACGGCGCCCCTCACGAGCGTCGCCAGCAGATCCGCGAGCGCGTCGTGGACGTCGGCGTTCGACGCGAAGACGAGGTCCGTCCCGACGACGCGGTCAAAGGTCCCCAACGCTCCCGGCGCGGCCCAGTCGAGCTCCGCGACGTCGACGGAGCCGGAGGAGAATGCCGCCGCGTTCGCTTCGACGTTGCGCTCGAGCAGCGGGAGCGCGAGGCGCCGCTCCGTCGCGGTCACGCGCGCGCCGAGCGTCGCGAGCGCGCAGGCCACGAGGCCGCAGCCCGCGCCGAGCTCGAGCACGCGCGCGCCGTCCCAGTCGCCGAGGTCGCCGTCGGCGGCGAGGCGCGCGAGCACGAGCGCGCTGTCCCATACCGTCGCGCCGTTGCCGCCGGAGAGCGAGCCCGACGGGTCCTCGGCGATGCGCAGCGACCGCCAGCGCCGCGTGCTGAGCCGCTCTGGTGGCGGCGCGCCCGCACGACTCGATGGCTCCTCTGCGAGCAGCTCTGCTGCTGGCGCCCTGCTGGGCTCCTCGGCCTCTGCCGGCGCGGCGCTTTGCTGCTCTGCTGATTCTGTGGTATTGCTGCGCTCCTTGCGCGCGCGGCGCAAGAGCTTTAGGGCGTCGACCATGCTTTGCAGATGCACTCAAGCTGCGCCCATGCCGCTCTCCAAAGGCATGTTGAAGACTGTTGAAGAAGTCGAGTCGCCGCAGAGGTGGAGGCCTCCTCTTGAGGCGCCCCGACTTGCGAGCGCGGCGGCGCAGCGCTGTGCCGCCGCTCGCTCACAGGAGCACTCGCAAACATGCTGCCCTGCGAGCCGTACGCGCGCGGCTTCTCGGACTCGCCGGTGCGGTCGACGCCGCGCGCGCGCATCAGCTCCGTGTCGTCGTCGCCCGGCGCGTCGCGCGGCCCGCCGCGGCGGTCGTCGAGCTGGGAGGCGCGCGCGGCCCGCGCGTCCAAGTCGCCGCTCAAGTCGAAGAGCAGCGCGCTCGACCTGCGCCGCGACTTCGACCTCGAGCTCAGCGACGACGAGGAGGACCTCGAGATCGCGGCGGGCCACGACTCGCTGCTGAGCGCCGCGAGCCGGTCCCGCGGCACCGCGGGCGCGTCGACGACGAGCGGCGCCGGGCGCATCGTGCGCTGGCTCGACGGCGTGGAGCCCGCCGCGCCCGCGGAGTCGCGCGCGGCGCGGCGGCGGCGGCGCTGGGCGTACCGCGCGCTGGCGGCGGGCTGCGCCGTGCTGTTGCTCCAGGGCGCCACGGTGGTCCACATGCTCGCGGGCTACCACGGCGACGAGTGCGCCGCCGTGCCGCGGCGCCCGGCGCCCCGGCGGCCGCGGCTCGACCTCTACGGCAACGCGACCGCGCGGCGCCTCGAGTCGCGGCGGAAGCGCAAGGGCGCGCGCAACGGCACGTCGACGACGACGACGCGCGCCAAGAGCTTCCACGTGCGGCGGCCCGTGCGCCAGAGCGATCTGGTGTTCTGGGGGACGCACAACTCGTACCACCGGCGGCCGCGGCGGTTCCACTTCCCCTACTGGAACGCGCTCATCCCCCAGTGGCAGTACTCGCACCCGCGGCTCGCGCGCCAGCTCGACGCCGGCGCGCGGCACCTGGAATTGGACGTCCACGTCGACAGCGCCACGCGGAAGGCGCTCGTGTACCACGTGCAGTCGCTCGACTCGCGGACGCGGTGCTACTGCCTCCGGGACTGCCTCGGGTCCCTCGTGGACTGGAGCCGGCGGCGAAGCGGCGACCACGGCCTCGTCGTCGTGCTCCTCGAGGTCAAGGGCACCAAGTCCTACGTCGAGGACGTCGCGTCCAGGGCAGCAAAAGAGAGCGAAATTCCCAACTTCAAAGGGTCCTATCTCGGCCGTTTTCCACTCGTTTCGGCTGATTTTTGGACGAGCGATCATCTCTTGGAACGGTCTCGAAGCGTGGATGCTTTTTCCGGAACGCGCGCGCGCGGAACACTCACGTTGAAGCGACGTTGAATCACCCTTTTGCTGCCCAGGTCGCGTCGCACTTTCGGGGTCTGGGCGACGACCGCTACCCGGAGTCCAGGGACGCGCTCCGCGTCATCGACGACACGATCTTCGACGCCTTCGCGCCGACGCCGCACTCGCTGCTGACGCCCGACGACGTCGCGGGCGGCTACGCGTCGCCGGGCGCGTCCGTGCGCGACCGGGGCTGGCCGGCCGCGGACGCGCTCCGCGGCGCGTTCGCCTTCGCGCTCCTCGACTCGTCGCAGGAGGCGCAGCTCACGCGCGCCTACGACGCCTCGCGGCGGCCGAGGGCCATGTTCACCATGGGCTCGGCCGTCGTGGGCCGCGACGCGGCGGCGATCTACAAGTACGACAACCCGAACAACCCGGACCACTTCGCGGCGATCCAGGCCGCCGTGCGCGCGGGCTTCCTCGTGCGCACGCGGGCGAACACGGTCAAGTACGTGGCGAACTACGCGCGCTTCGCCAAGGCGCGCGAGAGCGGCGCGCAGCTCGTGAGCTTCGAAGCGGACGCGAAGTCGAACTGGCTCCGCTTCGTCGGGAACCCGGCGAGCCAGTGCGCCTGCGACGCGCTGGCGCTCGCCGGCTCCGACCGCCACTGCGACGACTCGAGCCCGCCCTGCACGTAGTAACTACAGGCCGTGTGTGCTCTTGGGCATGCGGCTCCTCCGACGCTAAATCACCAATAATAATAATAATAATAAGGTGGGATCTGTGGATTGCAACGTTCGCATGTTGAGCCTCAACAAACTGAGGGTGCCGTGTCAAATCGCTCGAGCAGAAGCTGCGATTCTGGCACGAGGTGCTACCCGCGATACCCGTGGCAGCGGTTCCGGCAGTGCCACTGCTACCAATGTCCGCGAAGCGCGCGCACGAGCAGATGAGCGCCACGGCACCGAGCAACGAGGTGCGCGCGCTGCTGCGATTCGCCTTCAGCGCCGCGGCCGAAGGCCTGGGCATCACGCTCGTCGGCGGCCAGAGCATCGGCGACGGCTACGTGTACGCCCGGGCCGACGGGGCCCCGTTCGCCGACGACGACCTCCAGCCCCTGCGCACGCTGCTGCCGCTCGCGTTCGTCGGCGACGTGGCGTGCGTCGACGTGCCGTGGTACAAGCTCGCCGATTACTTCCGCTCCAAGGGCCTCGCGCGGTCGGCGGCGCTGATCGCCGGCCGCGACGACGCGATCCCGTGCCTGCAGGCGGACGTCAAGGACGCGCGCGTCTGGCGGCTGCGCCTCGGCGCGCTCGCGCGGGACGGCGCGCTGGAGGCGGGCCTGCGCGCGTTCGCCGCGGCCGACTGGAACCCCGTCGTCGAACGCGTCGGCGCGGGCGTCGCCGTGCGCTACGGCGCCAAGCTGTCGCCGACGCTGCGCGCCGAGGTCGCCGACGGCGCGGCCTGGGGCGCGCGCGTCGGCGTGCGGTCGTTGGGCGACCTCAACGCGCTCGAGGGCCGCGCGGCCGTGGACTACGCGCTCCAGGCCGAGTTCCGCCAGGAGGCGAAGATCCACGACCTCGCGCGCGCCGTCGCCGCGAGGCGGGGCGTGGGCCTCATCTGCATCGCGGGGCCGACGTCGAGCGGTAAGACGACGTTCGCCGCGAAATTGGGCATGTACCTGCGGAACGAGGGCGTCGACACCGTCGGCCTGACCGTGGACCACTACTACCTGCCTTTGGACCGCCAGCCCAAGTACCAAAAGCGAAAGCAGCGGAGCGACGTCGACTACGACGCCGTCGAGTCCATGGACGGCCCGTTGGTCGGCGACCACATCAACGCGCTGCTCCGCGGCGAGCGCGTCGAGCCGCCCGTCTACGACATGAAGACGGGCTACCGCGACGGCGTCCACGCGGCCGTGGCGCTGCCGGCGGGGTCCGTGCTCATCATCGAGGGCATCCACGCGCTGAACCCCGAATTCGTGGGCAAGGTCCCGCGCGACCGCACGTTCAAGGTCTTCATCAGCCCGCTCCCGGCGCTGGGGCTCGACGAGTGCAATGCGCTCAAGACGACGGACTGCCGGCTGCTGCGGCGCATGTGCCGCGACTTCAAGTTCCGGGGCAACGACGCGTCGAAGACGCTCGGCATGTGGGCGAACGTCCGCCGCGGCGAGGCCACGTGGATCTTCCCCCACCAGGACGACGTCGACTTCGCCATGAACTCGGCGACGGAGTACGAGCTCCGCGTGCTCAAGCCCGTCGTCGAGCCCCTGCTCCGCGACGTGCCGCCGGCGTCGCCCCACGCGGCCAAGGCCGCCGCGCTCCTCGCGTTCCTCGCGCTCGTGAAGCCCCTCGACGCGTCCCTGCCGACGTCCACGTCCCTCCTCCGCGAGTTCATCGGCGACGGCGCCTTCGACTGCCACTGAAGAGCGCGTAATCGATGGGGCAACATGACTTCACCCAAACTCGTACACCTCAACGTCTCTGGAAAATCTGCAGTCAGAGCACACACCGATTGTCGCCCGCCGCAGTGGACTTGGTGCGCAGCAGGAGCGCAGCAGGAGCGCAGCAGGAGCGCAGCAGGAGCGCGAGGTCGTCGCTGCAAAATCACCATGCCCGCTGGCGACGTCCTCAATCGGCACGGCACGGATGCCTCCTGCGACATACCGGACCCGCCGAAGCCCACGAAGCCCGCCGGCGATGCTCTCACCCGCTTCTGCGCCTCGGCCACCGCCGCGGGCCTCGCGGAGTCGCTGACGCTCCCCATCGACATCACGAAGGTGCGGCTCCAGACCAGCGCCGTCGCGTCCGGACAGCTCGCGATCGGCCGCGAGATCGTCGCCACGGAGGGCGTCGGCGCTCTGTGGAAAGGCGTCGTGCCCGCCCTATTCCGCCAGTGCTCCTACACGGGCCTGTCGCTCGTGCTCTACGAGCCCGTGCGCAACTACATCGCCGGCGACGTGCCCGCGGCGGAGCTGCCGTTCTGGAAGCGCGTGCTCGCGGGCGGCACCGCGGGCGGGTTATCGATTTTCGCGGTGAACCCGACGGACGTCGTCAAGGCGCGGCTCCAGAACTCGCCGGAGTCCCTGCCCGTCGTCGGCACGCTCAAGCAGGTCTGGGCGCGGAGCGGCGTGTCGGGGCTGTGGGCCGGCTGGTCGCCGAACGTCGCGCGGTGCTTCGTCGGCAACGCCGCGGAGCTCGGCTGCTACGACCAGTTCAAGATGATGCTCAGCGAGCACGGGCCGGCGGCGTGCACGGAGGGGTCGGCCTGGACGCACCTGGGCGCGTCGACGGGCGCGGGCTTCGTGTCGTCCGTCGCGTCGAACCCCGTGGACGTGCTGAAGACGCGGCTTCAGGCGTCCGCGGGCCTGAGCGACGAGGGCCTCTTCTCCCTGGCGATGCGCATCCCGCGCGAGGAGGGCTTCGGCGCCTTCTACAAGGGCTTCTGGCCCCTGTTCCAGCGCAAGGTCACCTGGACCGTCATCTTCTTCATGGCCTACGAGCAGCTCCGCGCCGCGGCCTCGCTCTAGCGCAGTTTTCGGCTAACGTTTTGGCTCTAGACTCGGCGCTGCCATCCGCTCAGTCGTCCCGGGCGGCGCCTCCGCCGGCCGTCGCCGCGTCGCCGTCCGCGCGGTGTCTCGTAAAAAGGGGCGTTACTCCGTGAGGAGGATGGTCCGCAGGGCCGGCGGGAGCTCGCCGAGCTTGCGCGACTTGAGGGAGTAGCCGAAGTGGGCAAGCCGCGGCTCGTACTTGGCGAGGCGCCGCGGCTCCGTCTCCGGCGCCCAGGACGACATGTTCGGGAGGCGGATGTCGACGGGCTCGCCCGCGGCCGCGTGGTAGTAGAGCTTCCGCCGCCGCTGGGGCCGCGCGAGGAGCTTCGCGACGAGCGCGTCGAAGAGGCGCCAGGCGCCGTCGACGCTCGCGAGCCAGGACTCGAAGCGGAGCAGGTACGCGGTGCGGAGGCGCGGCGCGTCCGCCTCGAGTTTCCCGTAGGACGCGAGCCAATTGTCGAGGAACGCGTCGACGTCCGCGGGCGTGCGGCGGCAGCGCTTCTCCCACTGGGACCCGCCGCCGATGACGATGCTGTAGGGGTGCTTGATGAGGAAGACGAAGGCGCTGTGCCGCCCCGCGAAGGCATTCTGGAGCCACAGGGAGTGGATGACGTCCGGCGGCGACTTCTCGACGAGCACGGGCTTGCTCCGGTTCCACCAGGGCAGCCACTGCCCGAGGAGGCGCGTCCCCGTGGCGGCGTCCGCGGGCAGGCGCTCGTCGAGGTAGGCGTCCGCGTTCGTCGCGTAGCTGCAGGGCCCGCCGAGGCGCGACGCCGTCGGGTAGACGTCCTGGAGCTTCTGGCCCTCGTCCTCGACGACGCGCGTGTCGTGGAAGCAGGAGAAGGTGCCCGAGCCGTGGGCGCCGAAGAGCTTGTAGAGCAGGGACGTGCCGGAGCCGTGGGTCCCCCCGACGAAGACGTAGCGGCTCGCGTCCGCGGCGGGCGGCGGCACGGCCGCGGGCTCCTCGACGAGGTGCAGGTCGCCCTCGCGCCGCGTCGCCATGGCCAGCGGCGCCCGGCGGGCCCGCGACTCGCCCCGGGCATATCGCAGGTCCGCGTCGACGGCGCGGCGCCGGCGCCGCGGGCGCGGGTCGTCGGGGTCCGGCCGCCGGCGCGCGTCGGGGCCGCGGCGGCGCGGGCTCTCCGGGCCGGCGGCGTCCGCGGGTCGAGCGCGGCGCCGGCGGCCCGCGACGCCCTCGTCGTAGGCGACGGCGCACAGGAGGAGGGCGGCCATGGCCGCGCCGAAGCGGCCCATGCTCTCCACAGCTTTTTCGTTGCCGTGCACGTCCAAACGCAACGTAGGCGAGTGATAGGAGTCATGTACGATCCTCGCGGCGGCGCCGCGTTCGCGCGCGGAGGCGGGGACGCGGCGTCGAGGTCGGTTGGCCCGGCGCGCTCGGACGGCAGCGCGCCGGCAGGCCCATCCGCGGCCTAGTCCTTGACGACGCGGCCGTAGAAGATGCCCTTGGAGAGGACCTTCTTGGGGGTCTTGGAGCCGAGGTCCGTGTCGCTCGCCTGGGAGGAGACGAAGACGCCGCCGATCTCGCCCTCGGCGGCGTTGACCTGGGAGACCGCGAACTCGATCGTGCCGTCAAAGACGTCGAAGACCTTGTTGATCTCGCCCTCGAGCTCGCCCTGGGAGTCCGTGCCCGTCTGGGACGCGGCGAGGGCCTGGGCCTGGTCGTAGCCCGTCGTCATGCCGCGGCCCTTGGGGTCGAGGAAGAGGCCCGTGCGGTACGACGGCACCTTGAACGTGCCGCCGAACTCGTAGCCGGGCTTGAAGGCGCCGCCGTTGCCCTTGGCGACGAGCTCCTTGACCGTGAAGAGGAAGGGCACGCGCTCGCCGCCGGGGAGCTGCACCGTCGTCGGCGCGTAGTCGATGCCGTCCTCCTCGGTGAACGTGATGCCCGAGCCGCCGGAGAGCTTGCCCGAGATGCCGTCGAGCGTGTACGTCTGGCGCGTCATGAGCTTGGTGTTGACGAACTGCTTCGACACGTCGCCCTTCTTGTTCGCGACCTGCTCCTCGACCTGCCACGTCTTGGGCTCGAGGCACACGTCGACGAGCGAGTAGCCGGAGCCGGGCACCGAGATCGAGTCCTTGCCGACGACCTCGTTGCACCTAGGGGGCGCGGCGGGTGAGCGCGTGGTGCGCGCGCGGTCGCGCGCTACTACGGGGCGTCGCGGCCGGCGGGGTCGCGCCGCGCGCGGCCGGCCCGGGAGAAACGGATCCGGATCCGATCGCGCGTTCGACCGTCCCCGCGCGCGGCCCCTTCGACGCGGCGGGCGCACCGGTTCGCGAGGCCCGTGCCCTTGACCTGCTCGTAGGAGAGCTGGTTGCGCACCTCGGAGGTGATGGCGTTGGCCGAGAGCACGGCCGGGCCGGCGAAGGACACGCCGGCGGCGAGGATGCCCGCCGCGACGTCCGTGGCGAGCTTCTGGGCCACCTACGAGCGGGCGCGCGGGTCGGCACGTGGTTCGCGCGGCGTGGGGGAGGTGTGGGGCGCGACGGCGGGGGCCTGGGGCGCGAAGAAGCTCGCGGCGCCAACCTCAAGCTTCCACGGCTTCATTTCGCGAACCCCGGGCCCGCCGCCGCCGCGGAAAAAGAGCGGCGCGCGCGCGAACTCACCGCGGGCTTGGTCGGCTGGAGCGCGTCGGCCCCAAAGAGCAGGGTGCTAATGATCGCGGCCTTCATCTTCCAACAACTCGTCGATCGCGTACGACTTGACGAGGAGACGAGGAAGATCGTCAAGCTCAGGGGACTGCGGCCCCCAGCGCGCCGATAGGGAGAGAGAGAGAGAGTTCGGCTGCCCTCCGCGGCCGACGAGGTGGAAGTGGGCTGCGCGCCGCGGCGTCGCGCCGCCGCCGCAGCCATGGCGACGAAGGGCTTCGAGGGCACGCGCCTGCCGAGCTCGCGCGAGGTGCGGCGCTGGTTCGCGGGCCAGGCCTACGTGCGGCGCAGCAAGCACGGCGCGCGGGTCCGGTCGGCCAAGTCGCTGGACAGCGCCGTGCTGTGCACGCTCGATCCCGACACGGCGGTCATCGTGACGCACACGGAGGACGTCGCCGACGGCGCGGGCGAGAAGACGCTGCGGAGCCGCCTGATCCACCCCGTCGACGGCTGGGTGTCGAGCAAGCTCCTCGTGAAGGCGTGCTTGCTCAAGGGCTACCTCGGCCGGCGCGCCGCGGGCCTCGGCAAGGCGCTCGAGCTCTGCTTCATGGAGGGCGGCGAGCTCATCACCATCACGGACCCGCTGGCGAAGGACATCAGCGAGTTCTTCAGGCGCGAGCCGGGCCTCCGCCAGTACTTCGAATTGAGCGAGCACGCGTCCAAGGAGTTTTCGGACCGCTCCCTACCGCCGCCGCCGCCGCCCGTCGCCGACGCCGACGCCAAGCTGCTCATGGTCGTCATCTCCTGCCGGAAGAACGAGCGGCTCTGGCCGGGCATCCGGAAGCGGCTCGCGGCCGCGCCGACCGGCGCCGACGGAACGCGTCGCTCCGAACCCCGCGAACACCCTCTCTCAGGTCCCGCACGTCATCCTCGTCGGCGACGCGACGATCCCGGAGCCCTTCGAGGTGCGGCCCCGCAACGTCCTCGCCCTGCGCTGCGACGACTCCTACGAGGGCCTCCCCGAGAAGATCATCTTCGCGGCGCACGCGGTCCGCCGCCTCGACAGGTTCGCGCGGTTCACGCACGCGCTCAAGATCGACGACCACGACGCGGCCGTCGACGCCGACGCTTTCGGCCGCCTCCACGCCCACATCCTGAAACCGGCGGCCCAGTGGGACTTCGTCGGCCAGCGCGTCATCCGGTCCTACGCGGGCAACCGGCGCTGGCACTTCGACAAGGTCTCGCGGGACAGCTCCTGGCACGAGCGGCCCTACGTCGGGCCCTACCTGCCCTGGGCCGACGGCGCCGCGTCCTACGTGCTGAGCGCGCGGTCCATGGACGTGCTCATCGCCGCGTTCCCCGTCGTCGACGCGCCCCACATGCTCACCATCCTCCGGAAGACGGAGATCTACGAGGACATCATGGTCGCGAAGATCCTCCACAGCGCCGAGATCGAGCCCCGCGAGCAGGACTACGGCGCAAACTGGACCCCCGAGCCCTAATTTGGAGCAGCTTCGTCGTAGTAACGGGGCGCGGCGCGCGGCGCCTACTTGGACATCATCATCTTGACGAACTCCTCGTAGTTGATCTGGCCGTCGCCGTCGATGTCCGCCTCGCGGAGCATCTCGTCGACCTCCTCGTCCGTGAGCTTCTCGCCGAGGTTGGTCATGATGTGGCGGAGCTCCGCCGCGGAGATGAAGCCGTTGCCGTCCTTGTCGAAGACCTTGAACGCCTCGAGGATCTCCTCCTCGGAGTCCGTGTCCTTCATCTTGCGGGCCATCATCGTGAGGAACTCGGGGAAGTCGATCGTGCCGTTGCCGTCGGCGTCGACCTCGTTGATCATGTCCGCGAGCTCCGCCTCCGTCGGGTTCTGGCCGAGGGAGCGCATGACGGTGCCGAGCTCCTTGGTGGTGATGGTGCCATCGCCGTCCTTGTCGAAGAGGGAGAAGGCCTCCTTGAACTCCGCGATCTGTTCCTCCGTGAGCTGGTCAGCCATTGTGTTTGAGCGAGGGCGTTGAGATTTAAGCTGGGCTGCACACTGGTAGGACAGGGCCGCGGCCAGCAAACCAAAGATACAATGATACGATCTCGGCAGTGCAGCCGATTTTCGCCGGGGGTGCGGTTGTGTGCGCGGCTGCGGGCGATAGGTCGGGTTGGTTTTTGGGGTTTGCGACTCGGGAAGGCGTTGGTAAAACTAAGGAGTCGTGCTAGACGTCGAGGCTGTGGCGAGCGCTCCGAGAGGCTTCGGAGGTAGAGCTCCGAGGCGCCTTGCGCCCAGGCAAAGCGCCGCATCTCGAAAGGCCGCAGCCGACGCCGTGCCCGCCAACCGACTCGCAAAAAACTAAACAATGGTGCGCCGCCCACCCGCCCCCTCGGACCACCCAACGCACTGCCCGACCGCTCCGCCGCGCCGCGCGACCGCGCCGAAGCCGCGAAACTGACGGGGCACGCCGCGCGCCCGCGGAACGGCGGTGGCGCGCTGCCCCAGAGGATATTCGAGCGGAACGCGCCGGCGCCGTCCCGCATGCGCGGCCCCGGCTGCCCGGGACGCGTGCGGCAGCGGCGGCGCGGCGCTGGCCGAGCGCTCGCGGCGCGCGCATCCGCCGGTCGGGCCTCCCTCCCGTTCCGCGGCGGTTCCCCGCCGTTTCTTCGCGCGCGCGCGGAAACTCACTGCTTCGTCCCTCCTAGGCTGACCAGCTCACGGAGGAACAGATCGCGGAGTTCAAGGAGGCTTTCTCCCTCTTCGACAAGGACGGTGATGGCACCATCACCACCAAGGAGCTCGGCACGGTCATGCGCTCCCTCGGCCAGAACCCGACGGAGGCGGAGCTCGCGGACATGATCAACGAGGTCGACGCCGACGGCAACGGCACGATCGACTTCCCCGAGTTCCTCACGATGATGGCCCGTAAGATGAAGGACACGGACTCCGAGGAGGAGATCCTCGAGGCGTTCAAGGTCTTCGACAAGGACGGCAACGGCTTCATCTCCGCGGCGGAGCTCCGCCACATCATGACCAACCTCGGCGAGAAGCTCACGGACGAGGAGGTCGACGAGATGCTCCGCGAGGCGGACATCGACGGCGACGGCCAGATCAACTACGAGGAGTTCGTCAAGATGATGATGTCCAAGTAAGCGCCGGCACCACGCACCCAAGGCGCCCCACCGCCTCCCCGGGCCTCGCGCGCGCGCGGCTCTGTGTGTTGTCTTCCGGTGTAATCATCGAACTCGAAGTTTGTCCTGCTGTTGATCAAGAGGCGCGGCGCGATCGCGTCGCCGCTCGGCGACCGCCGCGGGAGCCGCGGGCCGGCGCGATGACGCGTCGTCGCGACCCGGCGCGGCGGCGAGACGGCTCGAGCCGCCGTCGAAGAGTGCTGCCGCCTCGGCGACAGCGTCGGCGCGAGCGCGGCGCGCGGCGCGAGATGGACGGCTGGCCGGGCTTCTTCCACCCCCGGAGCTCGAGATCGTCTGGCGAGGCCTTCAAGACCATGAACAAGCTTGTGCTCGCCCTCTCTCTTTCCACGGCCTCGGCCTTCGTCGGCCCCTCCGTGGTCTCCACGCCGACCGTCGTCGAAGGTGGAACGCAGCGTCGCCGCAATTTTTCCAGGAACGCGCTGGATCGCAACGCGCGGCCCCTGTGCAGGCGCCAAGGATGAGCTCGTCGCCCTCGCGGAGTCGAACACGGATGCCCTCGGCTCGGCCATCGGCTTCTGGGATCCCCTCGTGCGGCGCCCGCGTCCAGCCGCGCGCGCGCGCTCGACCCCCCCGCCGCCGCGCGCGCGCGCGACGCGCGTTTCCGCGCGCTCCCGCGCTCACGCTCGAACGCCTCCCAGGGCGCCTCGGACCTCGACTTCTTCGGCCTCGAGCTGAGCGGCCGCCTGCCCGCGGGCGCGACGGTGGGCTACCTGCGCCACGCGGAGATCAAGCACGGGCGCGTCGCGATGGCCGCGTTCGTCGGCTACTGCATCCAGGCGAACGGCATCCACTTCCCCTGGACGCCCTACCCGGGCTTCGAGGAGGGCCTGAGCCCGCCGGAGCAGTGGGCCGCCATCCCCGCCGCGGGCAAGTGGCAGTTCCTCGTCTTCATCGGCATCCTCGAGGCGCTCGGCGAGTCGTTCGCGCCCGGGGAGCACTACATGGCCGGCGGCCGTCCCGGCGTCTTCCCGTCGCTCAAGGAGCCCAACGAGGAGATGCTCTCCAAGGGCGTCTACCCCTTCCACGGCTTCCCCCTCGACCTCTACGACCCCTTTGGCACGTTCGCGAACCGCTCGCCCGAGGACAAGGAGCGCGGCCTCCGCGTCGAGGTCAACAACGGCCGCCTCGCCATGCTCGGCATCTTCTCCTTCATCTCCGAGCAGAAGGTCCCCGGCGCCGTGCCCGCCCTCTCGGGCATCGTCAAGCCCCTCCCGGACCTCGAGATCATGGGCCCCTTCGTCGGCACGGACGGCCTCCAGCACATCTTCGGCTAGGTCCGAAGCGGCGGCGCTGCCGCGCGTCGCCCCCACCACCCCGTGCGCGGACGAGTCGGCCGCCGCACCGGCCTAAGACTAGACCGCTCGTTCTAGCCCCGGGGCGACCGCGGCTCGCACGACCGCTCAGCCCCGGAGCGCGCGCATCTCCGCCGCGTGGTCCGCGGCGATGGCCTTGAGCGCGTCCTGGGCCGCGGCCTTGCGCGCCCGCGCCGCGGCGATGTCATGCGCCGCCGCGCCGGCCTCGAGGAGCGCCGCCTCGTCCGCGGCCGCGTCCGCGACGTCGCTCAGGACGGGCCCCGACTTCTCGAGCTGCCGCGAGAGGCAGCCGACGGCCTGCGCCGCGCGGGCCCGCGCCGCGGCGTCCGGCGCGGCCATCGCGGCGCTCATGGCCGCGTTGAGCTCGATGGAGAGGAAGAGCACGAGGAAGTTGCGCACGCCGAAGCCGCCGCAGCCCGCGCGCGGCGCCTTGCCCGCGCCGCAGACGCGCTGGATGAACTCGAGGAAGGGCGCCTCGTCGCGGGCGCCGCCCTGGAGCACGGGCTTCGTGAAGAGCTGCAGGAGCACGTCGCCGCCCTGGACGTCGACGAGCACGCGGTTCTCCACGATCGCGACGTACTGGTCCTCCGTGAAGACGTCGCCGAGGAGCCCGTGCAGCGCGCCGTAGCGCGCCACCGCCGCCGCCTCGGCCAGCGCCGGAGCGTGGGGCGCGTCGCCGAGGACATCGGCGATCGCGTCCGCGTCCGCGTCGAGCGCGACGACGCCCCGGCCGTCGACGAGGCCCCGCGCCTCCAACGTCGCCAGCGCGGCCCGCGCGGCCGCTTCGCCGCAGCCCGCGGCCTTGGCCAGGGCGCCGGGCCCCGCGATCCGCCCGTAGTAGGCCCGGGGCACGTCGAGGAAGGCGACGCCCTCGCCCGTGGCCTCGCGCGTCGCGTTGGCCCGCTTCACGAAGCGGACGAGGTCGGGCACGCGGTTCGCGACGTGCTGGACGCCCTGGCCGAGCTCCCGCAGGTAGCCGGCGACGTGGCCCGCGGCGCTCAGGGGGTTGTTGATGGGGAGGAAGATCTGGCGCCGGGACCGGAGCGCGTCGCCGTCGGCGCCGGCCGCCGACCCGGCGACCGTCGACTCGATGACCTGGGCAGCAAAAGGGTGATTCAAGTTCGCTTCAACGTGAGTGTTCCGCGCGCGCGCGTTCCGGAAAAAGCATCCACGCTTCGAGACCGTTCCAAGAGATGATCGCTCGTCCAAAAATCAGCCGAAACGAGTGGAAAACGGCCGAGAAAGGAGCCTTTGAAGTTGGGAATTTCGCTCTCTTGTCCTGCCCTGTCGATGACGGCCTCGCCCGCGGCGACGACGCCGCTCTCGAACTCGACCTGGGGGAGGAGGCCCAGCGTGTCCTCGAGGATGCGCAGCGTGCCCAAGCGGTCCCTGACGTTGGCGACCCAGTGGTCGCTGAAGCAGGGCACCGCGGCCTCGGGGAACGTCGCTTCGACGGAATCGAGGCCCCGCACGGGCCCCGGCGGCAGGAAGCGCAGCACGGTCCCCGCGTCCGGCGCGCCGTCGTCGTAGAAGTAGAAGCAGTCCACGCAGGCCTTGTCGCCGCGGTCGAGGAGCCGCGGGTGCCGCGCGCCGTACGCGGCCGCGACCGCCGCGCGGTCCGACGACGCGAACGCGAGCGCGCAGACGCCGCAGCGGCCGCCGTGCGCCGCGAGCGCGCGCTCGACGTAGGCGCGCGTGAGGAAAAACGGCGCGCCGGGCCGCTCGTCGCCGTCGGCGAGCGCCGTCACGAGGAACGCCGCGCCGCCGGCGTCGGCCGACCGGAGCAGCAGCGACCGCGTGGAGCCCGCGTCCGACGCGCCGACGACGCGGAAGTCGAGCGCGAGCAGCTGCGCGACGACGTCGCGGCCGTGCGACGCGTAGGGCGCGGCGCTGGCGTCGTCGACGTCGAAGCGCGCGGCCACCGCGCGCCAGGCGCCGCCGGAGGCCGACCACTCGTTGAGCGCCTCCTGCAGCCGCAGGTAGTAGGCCAGCGGCCGCAGCGACGGCGCGATGGCCTGCACGTGGTGGTAGGCGAGGTCGATTTTTTGCATTTGCTTCTGCGGTCGCCTGCCGGAGGTGTCAAGGGCACTTGTTCGCGAGCTGGCACTGGCAGAACCCGGAGAGCTCGAAGTCGTCGCTGCTCGATGGGTGCAACGTGTTGATGTTGCAGTCGGCCCGCGCCGACCCATCGACGCGGCGCCGTCCTCTACGATTAGAATCACGGCTGCTGTGCGGTCTTCTGTACACGTGCGGAGAGGGGCGCGCGGCGCCAGCGCGGCGCGGGATGGCGCGCGGGGGAGGAGGCGGGGGCGGCGCTCAGAAGTCCGTGGCGCCCTGGTGGAGGAGCTGCTCCGGCGCCGGCGGGCGGTCGTGCTCGAGCTTGCGGCGCGACGCCTCGAGGCCGTCCCAGAAGACCTGGACGGCGTCGAGCATCTCGACCATGGTGTCGCAGAACGCGTCCTCGTCGGCGACGCGGCCCGCGTCGTAGCACTCCTTGAGCTCGTCGATGGTGTGGTCCGCGTGCTGCTGCTCGAGGGCGCTGTGGAAGGTCCAGAAGGACGACGGGATCTTCCGGAGGCCCCGCGCCGCGCGGTCCTCGTTGATGACCTTGAAGCCCGCGATGAGCTCGTCCCAGAAGCCCGCGGCGGCCCAGTTCTCGATGGCGAAGGACGCGGCGATGGACGTCGTGTCGTCCTCGTTGGCGTAGAGCCGCGCGAGCTCGTCGCAGAAGTGGACCGTGTCCGCGGAGCCGACGCGCCGCTTGCCGAGGTCGCCGAACTCGAGGCCCAGGGGCTCCGCGACGTCGAGGAGCCACTCGAAGTGGGCGGCGCGGTGCTTGTAGACGCCGCCGTCCACCGTGCCCGTCGTCGCGGCCACGGAGTCCGCGCGCGTGTCCTTGCCCCGGAAGACGACGCCGATCTCGTTCGCGAGGATCTCCTTGCCGTCGCGCATCTCCTCGAGCGTCGGCGCGTTGATGATCTTCTGGAGCTGCGCGACGAGGAAGAGCTGCGAGAACACGGAGAACTGCTGCACCTATGGTGGGCCGCGCGTGACGCGGCCGCATGGCCGGCTCATGGTGACGCGCCGCGCGGCCGGCTCATTCGAAATCGACGTCGACGCGCGAGCCGACGCGCGCGCGCGAAATCTGGGACGCCGCGCGAAAACGAGGTCCTGCTGCTGCTTCTCGTTCGCGGCGCCCGTCGACCACCAAGCGCAATACTTGGTGCCAACGACAACCGGGTGCGCGCGCACGGCGGCCATGGCCTTGTCGCAAAACGCGGGCCAGCTGCGCGACTCCGTGCCCGCTTTGAGCGGACGGATGGGCGTCGCGACCATGGCGGCGACCATGGCGGGCGTGAGGAGGAGGAGTACAGCGTGCATGGCGTGCATCGTGTCGGTGCGATTGGTGGACTTTGGATGTTCGGATTCTAGGATGGCACCGAGTCTGAGGTTGTCAAACACAAAAGTCAACAGGCTTCAAGCACGAGCATTTCGAGCAGTTCTTGCCCGCCTAGCCCACGCTGGCTGCTGCAGATGTCCGGAAAAGACACCCGAGCCGGGCCAGGTCGTGTCTCCCGCGTGTTCCCGACGCGGATTGCGAAATTCGGCGACAGACGCGTCGTTACCGCGCGTTAAAAAGCGTGCCCAGCCACGATGCCTGGAACCGAAATAAAAATGGCCCAAAGTCGTCAGCGCCGCGATTGGCCGGTTTATTGTCGAGAACCGGCACTGCACGTGCAGAGTGTTGGCCTTTTTTTTCATCCAAGCCAGCTGGTAATGTCAGTTTTGAGTTCAAACACTCGCTCAACGGGTTGGTTGCCACAGAAGACGGAGCTTCCGACTCGACCGCATCAGAGCGTAGCTGCGCAAGGGGACGTCGCTGTCCAATCACCAAAATGAACTCCTGGCAGCCCATTCAAATGTCTAGTAAGGCCGCGCGCACGAAGAACCAGATCCGCGCCGTCGTCGAGTCCGTGCTCGCCGGCCGCGACACGACGGACCTCCTGGACCTGTCGCTCGGCGACCCGACGGCCTTCGGCCTCACGGCCTGCCCGAAGGTCGTCGCCGACGCCGTCGCGGCGGCCGTCGCCGACGCGACATCAAACGGCTACGCCTGCGCCGCGGGCACGGCGGCCGCGCGCGCGGCCGTCGGCGCGGCCGCGTCGCCGGCGGCGGCGCCCGAGAACGTCTTCGTGACGTCCGGCGCGTCGGGCGCGCTGGAGCTCGCCTTCGCCGTGCTGCTCTCCGCGGGCGACAACGTGCTCGTGCCGTCGCCGGGCTTCCCGCTCTACGCGACGCTCGCGGAGTCGCTCGGCGCCGAGGTCCGCTACTACGGGCTCGACTCCGCCAAGGGCTGGGACCCGGACGTCGCGGGCCTGGACGCTCTCATCGACGGCCGCACGAAGGCCATCGTCGTCAACTCGCCGAGCAACCCCTGCGGCGCCGTCCACAGCCTCAAGGCGCTGCGCGGTGTCGTCGCCGTCGCCGCCGCGAATCGCCTGCCGATCGTGTCCGACGAGATCTACAAGGACCTCGTCTTCGAGGACGCGGAGAACTCCTGCTCCCTGGCCGACGTCGCCGTGGGCGCCTGCCCCGTGCTCGCGGTCGACGGCCTCGCGAAGACCTTCGCGGTGCCGGGCTGGCGCGTCGGCTGGATCGTCCTGCACGACTCCGTGAACGCGCTCGGCGACGTCCGCGAGGGCCTCGCGCGCCTCGCGACGCTGATCCTCGGCGCGTCGACGCTCGCCCAGGCGGCGATCCCCGTGGCGTTGAGCCGCGAGCCGGCGCTCCGCGCCGCCGTCGAGCGGCACACGACGGCGCTCGTCTCCGGCCTCTCGGCGAACGCGGCCGCGATCGCCGCGGCCGTCGCCGCGGCGCCGGGCCTCCGCGCGGCGCCGCCCAAGGCGGCCATGTACGTCCTCGTCGAGCTCGGGGCGCCCCTCGCGGCGCGGCTCCGCGACGGCGAGGCCTTCGCGGCCGCGCTCCTTGAGGAGGAGCGCGTCTTCGTGCTCCCGGGCGCCTGCTTCGGCGCGCCCAACGCGGTCCGCCTCGTCGCCTGCGCGTCCGCCGCGGCGACGACGGAGGCCGCGGCCCGCCTCGCCGCCTTCGCGTCGCGCCACAGCGAGGCCGAGGCGGGCGAGGCCTAGGCGCGCGTCGGCATACTTACGACCTCGTCCGGACTCGCGCTTACGACCGACTCGGAGGACGCGGGGAAACGAGCTCAGGCGCTGTCGGGCGCGACCTTGGGCCCGGCGAAGCGGCGCGGCAGCGCCGCCCAGGCCGACGCGTAGGCCGCGTCGAGGCCGCGGGGCCCGCCGCGCGCGTACCGCGGCGCGACGCCGAGGAGCGCGTTCGTCTCGAACATGAAGGCCAGGCCGCCCGCGAGCATGGCGGGCCGCGACGTGTCGCAGGTCGACGCCGCGGCGAACGTCTCCGCGTCGGGCCCGTGGGGCACGCCCGCGCCGTGCAAGCTCGCGCAGCCGGGGCCGAATCGCTCGCCCTTGCCGTCGTACGCGCCGCGGATGAGGCCCATGAACTCGGACATGACGTTCTTGTGGAAGTAGGGCGGCCGGAACGTGTCGACGGCGCAGGCGTAGCGCTCGGGGAAGACGACGAAGTCGGCCACGGGCACGCCCGGCGTCGCCGACGGCACCGTGAGCACCGTGAAGATCGACGGGTCCGGGTGGTCGCACTTGACCGCGTTGACGGGCACGAAGCGCTCGAGGTCGTAGACGACGGGCGCGTAGGTGCCGCGCCAGGCGACGACGTCGAAGACGCTGTGCGTCGCCGCGGACGCGCGGAAGCCGCCGCGGAACTTGGTGACGATTTGGAAGGCGCACTCCCGGTCCTCGTACCACGCGACGGGCGCCTCGAAGTCGCGCGCCTCGGCGAGGCCGTTGGCGCCGATGGGGCCGAGCTCCGGTAAGGTAAACGCGCCGGCGTAGGTCTCCAGCACCCAGCCGCGCGCGAACTCGCCGTCGATCGCCACGGAGAAGAGCACGTTCCGCGGCACCACGAGGCAGCTCCCCGGCGCGCAGCGCAGCCGGCCGAGCTCCGTCGTCACGCGCAGCGCGCCGCGCTCGGGCACGATGAGGAGGTGGCCGTCGGCGGACGCGTAGGCTTTGTCGACCATGTCCGCGTCGCAGCGGTAGCTCTGGACCGACACGCCGTCCTTGCCCTCGGGCGACCCCGCGCCGCAGACGACCTCGAGGCCGTCGACCCAGTCGACGCCGCTCGTCGAAGCGCCGCGGGGCGCCCAGCGCAGGGGCTCGTGCGCGGCGACGTCGGGCGCCTCGAGCCGCGGCGGCGCCTCCAGCGGCGCCTCGCGCGGCGCCGCGGCCGCGGCGCCGCGCGCGGCCGACGGCGCGATGCGGTAGACCCACGTCCTGCGGTTCGTCGCGCGCGGCGCCGTGAAGGCCGTGCCGCTGTACTGCTCCGCGTAGAGGCCCAGCGGCGCGCGCTGCGGGTTGTTGCGCGCCGGCAGGGCGCCGCGCAGCGCCTCGGTCTCGTGCTCGTTGCCGAAGCCGCGCTGCGTCTTCAGGGCCATCCAGGGGTCGCAGGGCTTCCCCGGGAGCTTGGGCGACGGCGCGCCGCCGTTGGACTCGTCGAAGGGCGGCATCGGAGGGGGTGTTTTCAGACAGGCAGGCGGTGAGGATGCTCTGAGAGGCGTCAACATCACTGAAAGTCACGGTTCTTGACTCGCTCAGAACTGCCACAGCCTGTCGAGAGAGCCAGAGCCGGCCGCCAATCCGACGTCCACTTCTCGACACGTGCGCCGCCAGAACCACGCGCAAGCGCCTCCGCGAACACACACGCACACACAACAACCACCAACGATGTCCTTCGTCGCCTCCGCGAACGGCCACGACCAGTTCCCCATCGAGAACCTGCCGCTGGGCATCTTCTCCCACGCGCCGTCGGGCCGCGACGCGCGCGTCGGCGTCGCCATCGGCGACAGCGTGCTGGACCTGCGCGCCGCGTCGGCGAAGGGCCTGCTCGACGGCCTGGGCTTCGCCGCGGAGCGCGTCCTCGGCGGCGCGGCGCTCAACGCGTTCATGGCGCTGACGCGGACCGAGTGGCGCGCGACGCGCGCGCGCGTCCGCGCGCTCCTCGCCGCGGGCTCGGCGCGCGAGGCCGCGGCGAGCGCGTGCCTCGTGGCGCGGCGCGAGTGCGCCATGCACCTGCCCGCGGCCGTCGGCGACTACACGGACTTTTACTCGTCGAAGGAGCACGCGACGAACGTCGGCACGATGTTCCGCGGCGCGGCCAACGCGCTCCAGCCCAACTGGCTCCGCATGCCCATCGGCTACCACGGCCGCGCGTCGTCCGTCGTGCCCTCGGGCACGCCCGTGACGCGGCCCAAGGGCCAGCTCCAGGTCGACAAGGCCGACGCGTCGAAGGGCGCGGCGCACGGCGCCTGCCGGCTCCTCGACTTCGAGCTCGAGGTGGCCTTCTTCGTCGGCGGCCCGCCGAACGCGCTCGGCGCGCCCCTCGACGCCGCGGCGGCGTCGGCGCGCATCTTCGGCTTCGTGCTCTGCAACGACTGGTCCGCGCGCGACGTCCAGAAATTCGAGTACGTGCCGCTGGGCCCCTTCGGCGCCAAGAACTTCGCGACGACGATCAGCTGCTGGGTCGTGTCGCCCGACGCGTTGGAGCCCTTCCGCTGCGCGACGTCGGCCGGGGTCCAGGACCCGCCGCCGCTCGCGTACCTGGACGACCCGCGCTACGGGTCCTACGACGTCGCTCTGGAGGTCGCGCTGAAGCCCGCGGGCGCGGAGGCCTTCGCCGTCGTCTCGACGTCGAACCTGCGCCACCTCTACTGGACGCCGACGCAGCAGCTCGTCCACCACTCGGTCACGGGCTGCGACATGCGCCCGGGCGATTTGTTGGCGTCGGGCACGATCTCGGGGTCGGCGCCGGGCGCGTACGGGTCCATGCTCGAGCTCTCCTGGATGGGCTCCAGGGACGTGGGCCCCCTCGCCGACGGCTCGACGCGCACGTTCCTCCAGGACGGCGACGCCGTGAAGCTCGCGGCGACGTGCCGCGGCGCGACGTACTCGCTCGGCTTCGGCGACTGCGTCGGCGCGGTGCTCCCCGCGGACGCCGTCGCGCCGCCGCCGCCGCCGCCGGCGGCGCCGCTCCGGAGCGTCGCGCTCCACGGCTACTGGCGGTCGTCGTCGGCCTGGCGCGTCCGCGTGGCGTTGGGCTTCTACGAGATACGCTACGAAACCGTCGCCGTGCCCCTCCTCGAGGGCAAGCAGGCGGCCCTCTCGGCCATGGGCCAGGTGCCGCGCCTCGACTGGACCGACGCCGGCGGCGTCCGGCGGTCCCTGACCCAGTCCCTCGCCATCATCGAGTTCCTCGATTCCGTCGCGCGCGCGCCGGCGGAGCCGTCGCTCTTCCCCGCGGACGCGCTCGACCGCGCGCGCGCGCGCGAGATCGCGGAGATCGTCAACTCGGGCACGCAGCCGCTCCAGAACCTCGGCCACCTCAGGGCCCTCGAGGGCCTCGGCGTCGACGCCAAGGCCCGCGTCGCCAAGCCCGCCATCGCGAAGGGCCTCGCGGCCGTCGAGGCGCTCGTCGTCGACGGCGACCGCTTCTGCGTCGGGGCCCACGTCTCCGTCGCCGACGCGTGCCTCGTGCCCCAGCTCTACAACGCGCGCCGCTACGGCGTCGACCTCGCCGCGTACCCCAAGCTCGCCGCCATCGAGGCGCGCCTCGCGGCGCACCCGGCCTTTGTGGCCGCGCACGCGTCGAACCAGCCCGACGCGGCCACGCCCTAGGCGCCCGCGTCCTCCCCCCCTCATAACTGACCGGCCTTGGCCGCGCGGGACCGCGCGGTCTGGCGCGGCAGGCCCTCGCGCGTGAAGACGGGCCCGTCGCCGACGTCGAGCTGGAAGGGCCGCGTCGCGTGGGCCGCGACGGCGAACTCGACGGCGACGTCGACCATGAACCTCCAGCGGTGCTCGCGCGGGTCCGGCCCGCGCGGCCAGCCCGTGTGGCCGCCGACGTCCGTCTCGAGCAGGACGATGTGCTTGGACGCGTGGAGCTCGCGGGGCAGCTGGGCCTCGTAGGGCGTGATGGGGTCGTCCTTGCCGTGGACGAGCAGCGTCGGCACGGCGACGCGCGCGAGCTTCTCGAGCCCGGCTCCGTCGCCCGCGCCCGCCGCGGCCATGTCCGTGTAGTAGCCGTCCGCTCCCGCGAGCGTCGGGTACCCGTGGAAGGGGCACACCTGGGCCCGGTCGAAGTCGTCGATGGACGACGCGTCGAGGATCGGACCCAGCGGCACCCTCCGCGCGTCGAGCAGGTCGAGGCACGGCTTCGTGAAGCTGTCCTTGAGGTAGTAGGTCAGCATCGGCTGCCACAGGCCCCGCGACCGGTCGCCGCAGGCCTCCAGGATCTTCTGGCTGCAGATCGTCCCGCTGAGCGCGACGCACGACGCGAGCTTCGACTCCCCCCCGGCCTTGGCGACGTAGTTCTCGCAGATGACGCCGCCCATGGAGTTGCCCACGAGGCAGACGCGGTCGCCGTAGGCGCGCGCGAGCGCCTCGACGGCGGCGCCGACGTCGGACGTCCGCGCGCCCGTGAAGAGGTGCTCGCGCACCGGCGTCCGCATCAACCCGCGGCCGATCATGACGAAGCACGCGAAGCCCCGGCCCGTCGCCCGTTCCACGAAGTCGAGCACGTAGGGCTCCGCGGAGCCGCCGTTGAGCCCGTGGAGCACGAGGAAGACGGGGCCGTCGATTTTGGGCTCCGCCGGGAACGCGGCGTCGACGGCGACGGCCTCGTCGTCGGCCGCGTCCCCGCCGCGGCGCGCGAAGCCCCGGGGCCCGTCCGGCGCCGGCGAGCCGTGGACGCGGAGCCAGCGCCGCGTGTACGCGATCGTCGGCGCGCCGCCGCCGAAGAGCACGAAGGGCACGAGCGTCGCGAGGTCGCCGTCGTGGGCCCAGTACGTCGGCGGCGGCATGGCCGCGACGCAGGCCTTGAGTTTCTTGACGAGGAGCGCGTTGCGCGGCGTGTCCGCGTGGACGAACGCGCAGCCGTCGGAGACGGGCACCTTGCAGGCGTAGTGAAAAGCCATCTTGCACAGGGTCGCGACGAGCGCCGGCAGCGCCTTGACGAGGGACCAGAGCACGGGCCGCAGCACGCGCCAGGTGTTGAGGTCGAGCTCGTCGTCGCCGCGCGTCTTTTTCGGCAGCGGCAGCGGGTACTCCGCGGTCGTTAGCTCGCAGAACTTCTGCCATTCCTCGCTGTCCATGGTGCGGTCGCGTCGGTCGCGCCGCACGAGCAGCGTCGGTCGCGCCGCACGAGCAGCGTCGGTCGTGTCTCACGAGCAGCGTCGGTCGCGCCGCGCCGCACGCACGAGCAGCCCCTCTCCCACCATTCAGCGAGCTCTTCAACGTTACTGCATGCTCGGCTATATCATCGATATTGAGTGATCGAGTCGGCAGCCCTCCACGATGGACGAGTCCCAGCTCGTCGTCGCGCCGCCGCGTCGGCGAACCTGGCTCAAGGTCGGTGTGCTGGGCCTCGCCGTCGGCGCGGCCCTCGCCGTCGCGTCGGCCGCGCCGCGGCCCCGGGAAACCGTCGCGCAGCTCTCGAAGACGGTGCACCGCGCCCTCGACGACGACGGCGCCGCGGGCCGGAGTTCCACGAGCATCGCCGCGCGCAAGGTCGTCTACGGGGACATGGACCCCGACGACGTCCAGGCGCTCTTCAACAAGTTCGCCGACGACAACGCGCGGAGCTACGAGAGCGACGAGGAGCGGACGAAGCGCTTCGTCGTCTTCAAGAAGAACCTCCAGTTCATCGACACGCTCAACATCAACAATCCCCACGCCCTCTACGGCGTCACGCAGTACGCCGACTGGACCTCCGACGAGGTGAAGCGCATGAAGCTGCCGTCGACGTTCGCGAACTACACGAAGACGAAGCGCGTGCTCGTCGAGCGGGGCTACATCTCCGAGGACACGCTCAGGCAGGTCGAGGACCCCGACGTCGACCCCGAGGACATCGAGGACGACGTGGCGCGACGGAACCTGCGGGACGAGGCGCGGAAGGCCGACGGCAAGACCTGGAAGGACGGGCTGGACATGAAGCACTCCGCGGACACGGCGTACGCGATCACCCAGGGCGAGGTCGAGTGGATGCGCACGCGCGACTGCGCGGCCTGCGCGCTCGACAAGACCTTCGCCCTCTACACGCTGGGCGGCGAGCCGACGAACTTCGACTGGCGCGACCTCGGCGCGGTCACGGCCGTCAAGAACCAGGCGGAGTGCGGGAGCTGCTGGTCCTTCTCGACCTGCGGCGACGTCGAGGGCACGAAATTCCTCGGGTCCGGGGGCACGATCCTGCACTCGCTGAGCGAGCAGCAGCTCGTGGCCTGCAACACGATGAACATGGGCTGCGACGGCGGCTACCCGTTCGCGGCGATGCAGTACGCGGCCCACTTCGGGGGCCTGGTCCACCTCGAGGACTACGAGTACAAGGCCATCAACGAGGGGTCGTCGGGGACGCCGTCCTGCGACACGGCCACGCTGAACAGCGCGCTCGAGCGCGACGACGTCGCGCACGTCGGCGGCTGGCAGTTCGTCGCCATGGGCGACAAGTACGAGAAGAAGATGCCCCTGGCCCTCGTGAAGAACGGGCCGTTGAGCGTGTCCTTCAACGCCAACGGCATGGAGTTCTACGTCGAGGGCATCGTCGGCTGCACGACGGGCCGCTGCAAGAGCGGCGCGATCGACCACGAGGTGCCCTGCGACCCGGACTCGCTGGACCACGCGGTCCTCATCGTCGGCTACGGCGTCCAGGAGGGCGACCAGGACGAGGTCACGCACATGAACGACGACGTCGACTGGGAGGACGACGACATCAACTACTGGGTCATCAAGAACTCCTGGGGCTCGGAGTGGGGCGAGGCGGGCTACTACCGCCTCGTCCGCGGCACCAACGCGTGCGGCGTCGCGAACATGGTCGTCCACTCCGTCTACAAGGCGCCAGGCCCGTAATATTGCCGGTACATGTCTGCTGGGAGGGGAGATTGGCGGCTTCAAGATGACTTCAATGCACTACAACGAGCTCGGCGCGCAGCATGTGCGCTCAAATCAGCAGCGCCCGCGCGCGCAAAACGTCGTCGACGCGAGCGGTGCTCGTGCTCGAGCTGTTGATTAATCATGATCCCGATGTATTGTGGTTCAACGACGTCTACGCACTCTGCGCGCTCGATCGCGAGCTGCGTCGCAAGGTCCTCGATCATTCCGCGACATGGGAGTCAATGACGCGCCTGCTCGTTCCGAGCCTCGAAGAAGTACGTGGCAGCGTCAACCCGCCGCGGGGTCGGAACGGCTTTCTCTGGTTCCTGCGTCTCAACGACGACGCGCTGCGCGTGCGCCCGACGCCGATACCGGACGCGCTCCGCCGCCGCGTCGAGACGCCGAAGGCTATTACATTCCTGGTCGACATCTTTACGGGTGAAGACGACCACGTAACATCCATGGAATTTCCTTTCGAGCTTGACGCCGCGGGGAACATGGTTGCGGTCGATGGAGATTCAGCCGAAAACGCTTTCACATGTGAATTCCGAGTCTGCGATGATACGAGAATTGAACTCGTCGAGGCTCTGGCTGCTGCGAGTGCCAGCGCCCGGAGGGATGGGGAAGGCGAGGATGACGACTTCATAACATGTACCGTACCTGCGAGGGTCATGTTCTCCTTTTCCGTGGACGGAGAGCCGCCGATCATCTTGCTGAACGAGTTCGCGTCATTTTCCAACGATGAAGATGCCTTGGAATTCCGCACTGATGTGGACGAAATCTGGCACCCCAACATCAAGAACCTCAGCGTCTCTTCGCTTTCCGTGCTACGACGGGAATGCGCCGCCATCTTTCAGTCAGGATCGGATTTACGATACGGCCGCGGTTCGCTGCCATTCGACCCGCTCGTAAGACTCACTCTCTCGCCGCCCGGCATGGACAAAAGATTTGATGTGGACGAGAACCCTTTGATCACTCAGGACAACATCGATGATTGTTTTGCGTTAATCGAAATCGACTTCCACAAGGGCGAGGATCAGGTCCTAGCGGACACGGTCGTCCCCGCTCTCATGCGCCTCCGCGAGGACCACAAGCGCCAGCCACTCTACTAGTAACCACGGTGATTCCCTGTATATTCTTTTTACGCGTCCTCGGGCGACGGCCGCTGGGACGCGTCGAACTTGGCGGCCCAGGCGCCGGGCAGGTCGGGGCCCTGGGAGCTCGCGAGGCTCGTGTAGCAGAGCACGCTCGCGCGCTTCTGCGGCTCCGAGTCCTGGCTCTGCGACTCGGAGTGCTGCGACTCGAGGAGCGCGCGCGCCGCGCGGAGCCGGCCCTCGTCGTCGTGCTTCTTCTTCGTCGTCGTCGGGCCCGCGGCGGACCGCGACTGGACGACGCAGTCGCCGAAGGCGTGCGGCCTGTCCTTGTCGGGCGCGACGAACTTGCGGCGCTTCGGCGACTCCGGCGGCGGCCGCTCCGGCGACGGCCGCTTCGCCGCCGGCGACGGCGCGCGGGGGGGCTCCGGCGCGCGGGGGGCCTCCGGCGCGCGCGGCGACGGCGCCGCGCGCGGCGACGCGCCAAGCCCGCGGCGGCGGAACGCGCCGAGCGCGACCGTGAGCGCCGCCGGCAGCCGCAGGTCGCCGCGGACGACGCGCAGGGCCGCGTCGGCGACGGGCGCGAGCGCGTCGTCGCCGAAGGCTGCCGCGAGCAGGGGCGCGACGGCCGCGAGCGCGCCCGCGTCCAGCGTCTCGGCGACGGGCGCGTCGGCCGTCGGCGCGACGGCCGCGCGCCGCGCGGCGTCGCCGAGGCCCCGGAGCGGCGCGCCGCAGAGCGCC